CCGGGGCAGATGGATTTTTGATAGCGTTAACACTTGGGCTGTCAAGATGATTATACACCCGATCTGCCATCTCGGCCAACTTATTTAGATCGTCCTGGCATGAGCTAGTCAATACTGACGTAGCCAACTTTTCGGGTAGGCATTTTAACCAAAAACCCTTTATAACTTCATCCGTCATCTTCAAACCACGAGCTAAGGAGCGCATGTGACTGAGTAGTTCGGAAGGGAACGACTTCCGAGCTCGTTCTGTGAGAAAAGCTGCTGTAACCGTTTCGCTGGGGGAATGGAAAAACGACTGGTGATCGCCTGTTTAAGTTGTTGGTATGACTTTTCATCTGGCGACGTGGGTATAAGCTCCTTGAACTGAGTCGTTATTGAATCTGGTAGGATACTCAGGGCGTAATGAAACCAGATCTCGGTGTTCGTGATTCCTTTTAGTAGAAATATCCTTTCTAAACGATCGAAAAAGGAGTCCGGGTATGCTGCGTCGAAACTTGGAATACCGAAAGAAAGAGTCGAAGTAGTTTCTTGGGACATTATGATGTAAATATGAAAAGATCGCTACAATTGGTGATCCTAATGTGTTCCAAGCCTGACTACATACGCTCAGCAGTAGTACAACCTCATTTTGGTGATACGAATTTATTTGACCGCTCAATCACTCCCGGATTTTCAACCTCTTTCCAACTCGTCCTTGTACCCAATGTAAGTTACCCACGATAGACGTACTGAATAAACATGCTCCGTGCTACACGTCTGTTTCCTTTGTAGCTGGGGTATGGCTTGGCTGGTTCTGGGAGTCTAGCTAGATGTAGGAGAATCTGCCATAGAGATTTCTGAGTCAGGCTTTACTAGTGTAGCAATCCGCTACAGACCTGACTTTAAAAAAAGAGGAGACTATTTCAACATGGACTTTGTTTTTAAAGTGGAGATCATATTGTGCTGAAAATGCACGTCTCATCTTATTCTTAAGACTTAATACGACTCTTGTTTTTAAGAGGAACTATTGTTCTTTATGCCTTTTATTTTACTCGACTGTTAAATTATTTTATAGATTCATGAATAATTCGCGGATTTAAAATAATTTCGTCAAATATGATATTTGCAGTGGTTTTATATTACTGTTTGACTGGTCAACGGTCTCTGAATATTGAGGACATGAGATTAACCGGAGACCCAGGGGTCAAATCATGAAAATTAAGCTTTAGATAGGACAAAGGAGATTATACCTCTAATTGGAAAGTTGACAACACAATGCTTCCAGTTAAAGACTGGTTCTCAAGGAGACTCGGGGGTGGGGACAGTTTACACTGGTCGCAGGTT